AGGTCCTGGCAGCTGTGTTGAGAGGATCCCATCCTCTGGATGCTCTGTCAGGGCCCTGGCAGCTGTGTTGAGAGGATCCCATCCTCTGGATGCTCTGTCCAGGCCCTGGCAGCTCCTTGCTCCAGGACATGCAGGCAGGTGACCCAAGGACACACCTGCTATGTCACACTCTGCTTTCCTCCCTCCTTGAGCTGGGCTTTCTAGCTGCCCATGCTGTACAAAGAACTGACTGGGCTGTCTGGACCCAGGTACTGAACACCCTTAGGCAAACCTCCTCCCAAATAAGTGTCCTTCTTTCAGATACCAGCTCCAGGAGGAGTGTTTCAACAGCAAAGTGTTTCCTGCCTGGAAAAGAGGGCAGGAGGGCTGTAGCCTTTTGCAGCAGTAATTGCTGGCTGTGGAAATGAGCTGGTACTGAGTGACCAAAGGGGCTGTGCTAAGCCAGAAATATGAAGGCTGGGACATGTTTACTGCTTTTCTTTCTAGAAAAAAAAAAATTAAAATGAACTTATGAATGACATCCTTACAGTTTTCCCAATGAAGTTTCAAGTTCTGAAAAGAGCACTAACATCATGCTTGTTTGCACTGAGAAGAGCAGTCAGGCATTTGCTCTTAGGAGCTGGAGTTCAGCTGTAGGTGGGAGACTGTGCTCAAGAGGTACCCAAATCCCAGCTCCTTAACCCACCCACATACAAGGGCAAAATTGGTTTTGTTGTTAGAGTTGTTAAATGCAGTAGTTATGATTTTGTTTTGATGGATTTTTCAAAGTTCTTTTGGATGCATCTTCAGTTTTGCTAACAGGTTTTTAAGACACTCTTTTTTCCTTCCCTGTCTCTTCAGCTATTGATGGATTTCTAAAAACTGATGAAAGRCAAAGACTGGCAAAGGAAAGAAGAGAAGAAAGGGAGAAATACCTTGGTAAGTTGTCAGGACATGTATCTATTATTTATATATATGTTTTAATAGGCTTAACTAACCAACGTAACAGTTTTTCTGTTCTGAATTTTAAATCTTRTAGTTCAGTCTGTTTCTCATCTTCTATTACTTCTTTTAAGTTAAATTATAAAAAATAATCTGTCTCAATTTGCAGTCAAATATTTMATATTATATATTTACAAGTTGACTCTCTTCTTTGATTTGTGTGCTTTTTTATATAGGTTTGTTTTCAGGTTACTGCTGTTACAATTCTGGTTTGTAAAAAWACAAAATAAGCCTTGAATAATACTCAGAATAATATGTAGGATGATTTGGTAAAGCAACCTTAATCTGTTCTGTTTTAGCCATATTAAAATACAGAGTAGAGTTGTTAAGTACAGCGTTAAAGCATGTACTTTTCTGAAAGTTGTAAAATGGTTAATCCTTCAAGAGAATGATAAAAAATATTATTCAGTTCCTGAATAACATAAGTGATAACAGTGATTTCAGATGTTTTTTAAGTAATCAGTTCTTTTTAATCTATTAACATAAGCAGGGAAATGTTGAGAGAATTGTAAAATACATATGTTAAAAGTATAAATATATATTTAAGGGGAGTGTGTGTATACACAGTTAAAAKAAATATATATATATGCATACATGAATAAAATTAACTTTTCAACATTGGTTTGGACTTTCTRTATCTCTATGTGTATAAAAAATATCAAACAGTTCACTTTTCCTCATTGTAATGACAGGAAAGGTCAGTAGCACTGTTCCTAGAGATTACCTGACAATACCTAGCAGAAGGAATTGTCAATGTTTTATGATTTTTGTAAAATTTACTATAAGCATGTATTTTGATGAAATGTCAGCTAAACCAGTATGGGCACCTGTCAAAAAAAAACATAGGAAAATACTGTTTTTCTTGCATTAAATAAACAAATTGACCATTTCCTGACAAAGTCTGGGGCTTTAGAGCAGTTATTTGGCATTTTCCACTACCATGGGCTTGGTCAGCAAGATCCCTTTTGGTATTTCTGGTGAAAATCTGCTGCTCTTCAGCACTTAAACTTCCCCTAGYTTCTGTCTATCAGAGACTTAATTCTATTCCAGGATACTCAGTTAGGCTGTCTCTTCTTGTCTCCTGATTATCCCTTCTTTTCTGGTTGCCAAGAAAGTGATGTGATGATTAGATTGGAAAAGACTTGGAGCAGAAGAGACGAGAAGGAAACTGAAACCTGGAGAATTTGGGAGTGGTTAACCCAGAGGATTTGGGAGGTGGTGTCTGCAGTTTTCTCCCAGGCATCATATGTACCTCCTGGAAACATATTTCTGTAAGATTAAAACCATTTTTGTAATGGGGAACTTTGGATTTTGGTGACAGTTTGACTGGGACACGTTTTCCTTTAGAAATTCAGGAAAAAAGCAGTGTATTCCCCATAAGGTCAGGCCTTTAAGCAGTCAGCAGGTACTAAGTAGCAATATGAAGTAATTTTTTCACCCAAACCAAAGCTCATTAACCAGTGGTTTAGCATCCCTAAATTAAGCAACAAGAATTRTATGTGTGTCCATGATGACAGAATTGTTTACTTCTCTGTCCAGAATCAGTCCCAGGTTTCACCTACTTACTCATAAGGTAATCTTAGCACAATTTCTGGACACCTCACTTTATTTTTTGGTTTTTATGAACTCCAGCATGCTTTTTTCACCTGCTCTACTTGATGTGGCTAGCAGTTGGGAACAATTAATGCCTGGTCACATTTTGTCCACTGTTTCTGAGGTATTTGACAAATCTGACTCTTGATGCATTTAGTCCAGGCTCACTGCATCACTGACACACCCCTGTCTGAGTGGGGAAAATGGGTGGATTTTCCTAAGGCAAAAAGGGAAGACAATATGAGTTCTATTTCTGACAAGAATAAGCTGGAAGATGTTCTGCAAAGCAGGCTGGATTTGAGGAAGAAGTGTTGTATTGTAGAAGGATTCTGTGTTCAAGGGAAGGAAATGGAAAAGGATCTGGGTGTTGGAAGGATCTGGGTGTTGGAAGGATCTGGGTGTTGGAAGGATCTGGCTTTAATCCAAGAGTGTAAGGATGGAGTGGGGCTAAGAGGGACTGGAAGTCACAACCTTGGGGCAGGAACTGAGGGGAAAAGGCTGATGTGGGAAGAGGGATTTGGGATGGCTGGACAGGAGCCTAGGAATGATGGGATGATAATGTGAGAGAGTTAAAAGGGTGACAATGTGCTGTACAAGGAAACAGGAACTGAGGAAACACGGTGAGGCTGAGTAAGTGAGCAGGAAGAAGGACTAGCTCTKGTACAAACTGTTAATTCTGGCTTTCCCTGCCTTTCAAGTTCTTAGCCTGGTAATATGCCTGGTAATATTCCTGGTTTTGGCTGTGTGTGTGTGTTGGTATGTGACACTACAGGCTTGTGAGTATGTAGGCATGCTTACTGACCTCCTCTTTCCTGCCTTTTTATGGAATACACTTGCATGGGAAATGGATTTTTCCTTATAATTTGCCACATCAACTCCTGCTACTTGTTCTCCTATGTACACCTGAAGCAACAGTCCAATATGTATTGTTGTAATCTGAATTTCTGTAACAKCAGGGTAATGTCCTGTGAAGATTATTGCTCCAGTTGGAATACACAGCTGGGCAAACCCTCAATAACAGAAGTATTTTTTTTTTATGTGAAGAACCAGAAGTGGGCAAAGATATAGCACCAAATCGTGAGCTGAATGATATCTTTTCAAAACTTCATAGAAAACTCAGCATATGTTGTTTACCTGTAGCTATTTTGAAGACATCTCCATAACAAAAAGCACACTTWTAAAGAAATCCCAAAGGCTTTTGCTTCAAAATATATGCCTGATTTCCTTCMAAGCTTGCTAGGAACAGTATGTCTGAAAAAACAATTTGGCTTTAAGCTTCAGAGGGGTTTGGAACATACAGAAAAAAAATTGTTAAACTATTCTGTACACTGTTTCTGCACAGGTAAGGGGTACAAACTGACACCTATAKARGTACAAGGGCTTCCCTATCTGTTGRCAAATCACTTAGATTTACTAACCATTTCAGCACTTCAGTGCACTATATTTTTAATCTCAGTGGACTAAAACCCTGTGTAGTTGYATTTGTTGTTTTACACTATTGTTTSATGTTATYAAATAATTTTAAAGCAGAAGCAAATTTGCATGAAGTGAAAGGCACCTTTTTCTCTGTGCAAGCTGCTAGGGAACAGCAGATACTGGAGAAGGAGAGAAGAGCAAAACTTCAATATGAAAAACAAATGGAGGAGCGATGGAGAAGACTGGAGGAGCAGAGACAGAGAGAGGAGCAGAAGAGAGCAGCTGTTGAAGAAAAACGGAGACAAAAGCTTAAAGAGGAGGAGGTAAAGTCCACTGGGAGATGGAGGGCAGCATTAAACGTGGCTGAATATCGACGTGCATGAAATGAGTGGAGATGGGAGCAATTACTGCAAACCCCATCACYACAGCTCTAAGTAGCCTTTGTACATCAAAAACACTTTGCAAAGCAATTGTTTAAAATTCTTGTCTGATCTCCTGGAGTAGTCATCTACTATTGCTAACATATCTGGGACTCTGATTGTCAAATATAAARCACCAGCTTTCTGGAAGGAACTCTTTAAAGATGAGTGTTTCCAAAAAGGGAAAGATTTTTCTTACTGTTCTGTTTACTGTCCATGAAACAGAAATAATATTTGTGARAATGTGTTCTTTCGTTTTTCCTTGRYGACAGAAATTCAAAAATTTSTACTTAAAGCAGTGAAGAATCTGGGCTRTTTTCAAATTCTAGCATAGAACAGAATTACTCACATATTTTTAAGCATCTTCATACCCTTCCTCTCTTCTGTGCTCCCTGCTGAGATCATTTAAGGTTCTTTTTTTGCTCTAGTGAGTCCAATTTCTGGTACAGCTCTCTGAATGCAGCGTGTGTATGTATATCTCTGCATGACATTATGTAGAGAACGCTACCCGCAACTGATAAAGAATTAATGGTTTTTGAAAAAGAGGGCAATGGTTTAAAAAAAAAAAAAAGCCAAATGAAAATATTTCCCCAGTTCCTAGATAAAAAAGCTTTAAAAATGCACAATTCTTAACTTCCTTTTTTCTGTCCCCCACCCTTTCATTCAAATAACTTTGCAGGTGAAACACTTCTGCATGATTTCAGAATAACATACAGTTCATTGAATTTTTGGTTTGGTTCTTCACTTTAACTTGAAGAGATTATTATATCCTGTCATTTGTTGTTCAACTTTAACATACTTATTGTGACTTCTCTGTAATGGCTGAGAATTAATTTTAAAATATTTGGTCATGTAGTTTCTTTCTAATTCTAAGGAAAGTGGGAAAAAGCAGAAACAAAGGGTGGGAGGTTTCTCTCCTGTGTCATGTACTCCTTCCCCAGCATTTCATGCTGTAATAACCTTTCAAACCTTTCAAAGCTATTAAAGTGAAATCAATTCCCTTTGTGAGGGTTGTAAGGGGAAGGGGCAAGTACAAAAACCTCCTAATCCATGTACTGAGAATTGGGACAGAGAGGTGTAGAAAGTGGGTGAAAAAAACAGAGAGAAAGAAGGACTTTATTRTGGSACAAGCTTCTTTTATTTACTTTAGTAATTAGAGTATACATTTGTGTYAAACATACATTGGTTAAGAGACAGCTGTTTAATTAGCAATTAGAATATAATTGGTGAGTTTGTAAAAGTTACAGTATTAGTAATGCTTATAATTTTTAGCAACTTGCGTTATTAATTCTACATTTTAATACGCTTTTCTCAAGGATGCAATATTTTTTTTTTATATATAGACTATTAACATTTCTTTCTTTTCTCAAGCCTCAATCATACACAATAATTAGCTAAGTTTCAAAATCAGAGCTTGCACCCATCTCAAACTGCATGCATAGTAACAGTGGAGGTTTGAGTAAGGATGGTGATGAACTTGCAGCTCCCTGGGCATTGCAAGTTACTCACTGCTTGTGAGTCATTCTGTCCATTTGAGATCATCTTTACTAAAAGAGCTTTGAACATGGATTTCCTGCACCAGGGATGCAGGGGGTGCAGCATCTCTCAGTGTTTGTTCTTTTACAAATGGTTTACTCTGGCTGAGGACTGGATCACCCATTTGACTTGCTCATCAGGTATCTGAAATGACAACTTGAAATTTTCTTCCTTGTTCCCTGCCTTGTTGGTCATCCTTTATATTTTCTTTGAGTTATTTTTCCTTGTTTTATTTAACACAGCAGAAATTATTGTGTATTTGTGATAGGAGCAGGTTATATAAATTTCTCTCTCCAAAATGTTGTTGTTGCATTTGTAAGAGTTTGAGAGAGGGGAATGGCTCTTAACAAACTGGTGGGGGCTTGCTGGCTCCTATTTTGCTTGAATTTTGCTTACAAAGGACTTCTTTAAGAGGTGGCTAAAATTCCATTTATTTTGCTTACTTTTCCCCCTCTACAATGCCAGATAAGAAATTTGGTTTTAAAGTCTCTCTTGGTAGAGATCAAGGTATTCTGTCAGAATTCTTTGGGGCAGCTGGAGCTTGTTGCAGAGCACACTGGAWGTGTGTCTGATTCTTCAGGAGGAACTGAATACATAATGTTTAGAAATTATTCTGTTTACATTGGCTGCATTTTTTTTATCCACAGAGGTCTTTAGTATCACTGCCCTTTCCTTTGTATACTTTTAAAGGTGCCCACTTCTTTTAGTAAAAGCAGTTCTTGAGCCTTGAGGAAAGCAGCATGTTGTTCTTTCTTTAAAGAAAATTTACARTTTTCTTTTAACAGGGARCTGGAAGTTAAGCTMATCCTTTTTCAGCTAAAATAWTTTTTCTCCCTTTTCCTGTCTTGAACTTTCATGTGACTTGGAATACCTTGTAAATAGATAACCTGTAACACAGGTTATTATTGGGAAAAAATAGTTTTGGTGAATGTGCTCTAATTGTTACATTTGTTAAAAAATACATGCAGAGAGTGAAAAGCTCACAAGATTTTATAGCTTTAATTATTTACTGTACACCTCTCCAAAGATGAAGCCAACTGGAAATGTCAGGGAACAGTGAGCTACTTGCATGCAATGCTGTACATAAAATGAATAGGAAGAGTTGGTTTTGGGTTCTCGTAGATGTTTGTGTTGTAGATATGAGGAGATTTGTTTAGAATTGCTTGCACAATTCTTTTTAAGTCATAGTACTTGAAATTTTTTTTTTTTCTCATCACATCTGTGTTATATTTTACACAGAAAAAATGAAGGTACTTAGTCCCAATTATTTCTCACAAATGAGTTTTGAAGGGGTGGACTTTTGGTTGTTTTTAATTTAGATAGTACAAATGTTTTTTTCTGTTGCTCAAGCTGAGGAAGACCTGCATGTATAACTGGATTTTGGAAAGTAATGTATATTTTAGATACCAGCAGTAGATGGCTCTCTTTTATGTTTTTATTCATTCTTAATTTAACCAGCATGCAGTGTTTGTGCTTTATAAGGTTTTTTTTGTGTGAAAACTCACTATATCTTGAGAGCAGACATTGTTTCCTCTATCTGTGGCTGTTAAGAGTTCCCAAATGAGATCACATGGGCAGTTTGAGATGTTTTCAACAAGGTGCTTCATCTACAACATAGACTGGAAGGGTTTTTCACATTGTTTGCTGATGAAGGAAAGCTTTGTCTTGTGGTTTAGTTTTCATCATGGAACAAATTATTTATGTATGAGGAAGCATGCTATGCTTCCTTATGTCTTATTATTTTCTTTTTAATTTTGTGCCAGTTTAAAATGTTTTTTAATGGCTGTTCTTTCTTTGTGAAAGGCAGCCTTCATATTGTTCTTTATCTAACCTGTGTCTGCAGAGGTTTCATGATTTTTAATAATTATATTCTATAGGGCTTTAATGAAAAGCTCTTTGCAAATGAAAAGGAATGATCCTCTCTAAATAATATAACTGAAGATTTCAGTCTCAGATTGTAGGTAGGATGGGCTTTCAAATGTGTATGAAAAGGCATTTTATTTCTTTAATCTGTTTCACTGTGCATTTTATTGTTGAAACAAGACTTTGATAGTTGGTGGTGTAAGTGTATTCTGTGGTTTGCAAACTATAGAATATTGCTCATCCTTACTCCAAGCATCATTTTAAAAAAACCCAAACAAAACAGCAAACAGAAATAAATCACCCAGATAATTGAAATTTGACTATTTTAATATTATCCTTTTTTATTAATGTATAACAATATTCATTAGAAATTGGGGGAAAGGAARATTGCAGAAAAGCAGAAATTGCAACAGCAGGGTGGGTCACCTGGCCAAAAGGTAACAGGGACAGGAGAGCTAGGAATCAGAGAATGAAAGAATTTCCTTTCATTAAAGTCTTTSTAAAGAGGGTAATAGAATATTTTATAGCACAAGGGATTTTTAATAAAAATAGGAGAAAGAAGCTTAAAGATTAAAAACCGCTGTGGCTTGCTGTTGGTACTGATAGATAACTTGTAGCAGGGTTGGATGAGGTGGGAAAAATGAGTTCAGAAATAAATTACTGCAAGTSAAGATAGTAGAAGAGATTCTTCAAAAATGTGGAAAAGGTAAAAATATGTTGTAGATAACCAGAAGATGATGAGAGGACAGTAGGAAGTCAATGAGCAAGAGAAGAACACCAGGAAGGTAACACAAAGTTTACACCAGGAAGGTAACACAAAGTTTACACCTATGTGTATTAAAGTATGAAGATTACTGGAAGTGCCTGATATTAGTCTGATGTGCTGAAGGATCTGCACCAGAGACAACTGGCTCAAAACCAGTACTTGAACAAAGACTGATTTTTTTTGGTAAAATATCTCGGAAAAAGGCAACAGGAAAGCCAAAGGCRTTAATCAGAGAGAGAAAATCTGCCCAAGAGATGTATGAAGGGTTTTCCACRTTCCACAATTGATCTGAACTGCCAAAAGATATTGGAGGTAGAGCAGGGGATTGATAAAAATCAGAAGGGGTGTGATGGAATCACAGAAGCCTGCCAGATCCAGTTTGAAGTGGGTAAGTGTAGGAGTTTTATCCTAGACCAGAAGGACATAGCAAAGGTAATAAGGACTAGCACCAAAATTAGTAACAGGATCAAAGGGCTAAAATTCAGCGTGGCAGGAGCTGGAGGCAGCAAGAATAGAGGGATCTTTCACAGGAGGGGTTGGGCTGCTGAAATGTGAGGGTGAGGAGGTTGCCAGATGCCTGTGAGGTGCTGGGAGGAGGAAGGGAAGAAGCTGTTAGATGATGGAACTGTGGGTGGGGAAGAAYCACATTTTATCTGCTTGAAAGGAGGAAAAGAAAAGGTGCAGGGATCATTGCCACAACAATAAATCACTGAGAAACTAGCAGAGGGAGGAGGTGGGAATGAAACTCAGTGGAGGTCTTTGAGTGAGAGTCAAAAGGTGATGGAGAGGGAATAAAATGACCATACTTAGCTGTAAGTTAAAGGTAGAGCAAGATTTGGGGAGGGAAAAAAATCAATTTTATTTTTCCCCATTGTAGAAATCCTAAGTCATGGAGAAGAATGTGGGGATAGTGGGGGGAGAAAAATCAATCTTGATACAGTATGATCCAGGCATGCACTAAAAAAAATACACAGAGAAAAAAAAATCAGATCTTAAATGCCTGGTCTTCAGAAACATAGTGGAAGAAAGGAGGGAGCTTTTGTAAAAATAAATAAATAAGTAGGGCATCCTGCAAAGTAACCTACTTTGGGTTTGAAGTGATCATTTATCTGAGTGACTAGGTGGAGCCACTGGCATTGCAGCAATTGAACCGAGCTCRGAAAGGGATGGGGAGAAATCCCGATGCCTGCATAGACAAGAAGGAGTTAATGCTTGTCGAGCATTATTCTTATACAAATTAAGTCGGGAGCACAGCAGCAGCCTCAGCAGCAGGAGCAGATGCTAGGCAGTGATGCAACCTGTGTTATTTACTTAGGCCTGGGTGACCTCAGTGCCTCGCAGACAAAGGATCCCCAGATCTGGAGGTGGGTGCATTCTGATCCCTTCTTTATTCAGTTCTTCTGCTTTTCCTGCCAGCAGCCTCCTGCAATCATCCTGCGTGGAGCAACAGGGCGTGGGTGGATTTTTAGTGGATTTTTAGTGGATTTTTAGTGTATTTTTAGCATGGTTTGGGATGCAGGGGAAGGAACCCCTAAAGGAGTGACTGAGATTTGTTTGTACCAATTTTCAGGAGCGTTTAGAAGCCATGATGCGCCGGTCCCTTGAACGCAGCCAGCAGCTGGAGCAGAAACASAAGAGATGGTCGTGGGGAGGAGCACTGGCTGCAGGCTCAGGAGGCAGAGATGGTGAGTGGAACTGCCTGCATTGCAGATCTGCAAAATGCATCAGATTGTGCAGATTGTGAGTACCATGGGTTTGTAGTAGGGTGGGACTGGAGGGGCTACTTCAGTGATGCT